TATATATATATATATATATGTATGTACAGATTCGTGTTAGCAATAGCGGTTTGATCAAAGAGCTAAGAGACTTGCAAATAAAGAGAACTGTCTCGTAAAAAGATTGTGCAAATTACCAACGACCGTTTAATCCCGGGTGACTTCGAAGCATCGTCGTTCGCTATGGTTAATTAGGCTCACCTGGTCCGCTTATGCCTGGTGTAGATGCCGGAAATGGACGGAACAGAGAAGCGACCCGGTAGGGTCTGTGCCCCACCGAGATTCTCCAGGCTCTGACTCAACTCCTTACTCATGCACAACACACCAAACTCCACCGTATGCTGACCACTAGAGTATGCAATACAGTGTACCACCAATGCTCCTTGTATCAGACATTATTTACTGCTCAGAAACTACTACTCTAAGATCCAGATGTACATGTGCGAGACAGTGACGAATGGCATGCAAGGTAAAAAATGTTACAGAAAACTAAAGCGAAGAGATATGCGTCCAAGAAAAAATATGCAAAATTGTATCCCGCTCCCGAGTGCAAAGCACGCCTTAGTAAAAATTGGTGCTCTTCTAATTTGTATAAAACACTTTGTTGTTACTAACACAACAGTAGAATCCTAAAGGTAATAATGTGCATAGTTCATGTGAAATTAGACAATCTTGCAATGTAATCTTGCAATCAGACATTAGGAATATAGGTGCCACGTGCGTGTCACAATAGGATATGCATGTTATAATAAAGAATTATATGACTGATAGAGTGCTACATTTCAATTTGTATTGTTTATGACAAATAAACATCGAATATTTCCGTGGTACACAACAGACATAAGCAGACACGATCCCATACCAATTAATATCAAATAATGTTAATTAATTCCACCTGATAATCCAATGTTTTATACACGCTTAAAGCTCTATTGATTGAACTATAAACTGCATCATTTAATATATAATTTTGAATTTGATACTGATTTGTGCACATAATATGAATTCAAGATTATGTAATCAATACACCACTAAACAATATGTTGACCTCTTACATTCTAATATAATGTTTTCAATGTATTTTAAATAATAATATAAAATGGTAGATTATGAGACTAATGTTTCTATAATGATATTTAAATACGAACTTACCTTAGGCTGAGATCTGGACTAGCGCACCGTACAACAGGGCTTGGCACTGGTGGAACGACTCTGTATCCAAAAGTTAAATAATTTTTCCACACATGCATGTACATATCTCTCTCATTCACAGGTTTTCGGACTGCAGTTGAACTTCTTAAAAGAGAAGCTCTATTGTCATTCACAGGTCTAAAAAATTAAAGATAAAGATTTTTACTTTTCTACAATTGTAAATACACATATGTTTTTACACGTATGCATTAGTAGAATCTAGACTTACGTAGGATCAATTACTGAGAAAAGTGAATTTATCCGAGTAAAAACGATAGGCCACGAATGTGCAACAGCAGTGGGACATAGTGTTAACACTCTATCTTTCTCTAAAAATGCAAACAAACAACTTCCCCATGGATCTGCTCCATTCAGATTTAAAGAAGAAGAACTTTTTGTACTAGTATCATCGTGAAGACCTGTAATTTTACATCATGTGTTAGAAAAGTTTACATAAATAAATAAAATGATATAAAAAAAAAATGATTTGATGATTGCCATCATCACCTGCTGTCCATACACAACTACTTCTTTCAGCTATCCACTGAAGATCAACGTTAGAAGTAGAAGCTGCTGCTGCTTTTTCAGCAGGTGGCAACATATGATAACATTTTTCCAGAACTGTTGCACAACAAGTGTCTATTACATCGATTACAGGTTGATCATCTTCTAAACCTCCTAAAATGAGATAAATGTTTATTTAGTATTTAATATTTTTAATATTTTATACTTTAATGTAATTGAACTTACCTAATGTTTTTAATAAATGTTTAACTTCGCGTAATATATGAACTGCTATTCTTCTAGGATAAAGGCGACAGTTACAAAGCGTAACCAACGCAAATCCTTCTACTAAGTGGAAAACGCTGGAAACAGGTTCTATCTTTTGTCCTGATTCACTTTTTTTGATGTTACTATCTACGCGTATATTGTTTCTGGCATTATCCATTGATTGTTCCTTACATCTTATACTAGGACTTGTTAGTGCATTTTTCCAACTTGTTAGAAGTTGTAAAAGCATTCTCAAACCATTATCAACAAGTTGTGGAAAAGTATCTTGAACATCTCTAGCAAGAAATTGTGTAAATCCAAGAACAACATCTTGCCTCCAATCAGGGAAGTCTAGTACTAAGGTTTGCAGACTTTGATATGCTAATCCACGAAGCTCTTCATCCATGTGAACAGTTAAACGTGATAATAAATCAACTAATTCAGCACCTGTCATCCCATCAGGTATTAAACGAGGAACTGCAGCAACACAAGTTCGAAAAAGATCTATTCTGGGTTTTCGTTCTCCAGTAATCATTTCATCCGGTTCCTTATTCATATTTTGAGTACTTGTCATCATAAGAGGCCTGCCATAGTGAACATCTAAAGCACGTAGAATATCAACAAATACTCGTCGAACATGTGGAAAATACGATGACATTCCTATACTTCTTGCAGTATCTTCTGTTAACATCTAAATTTTATAAAATTTTATAAATTTTTTTAGAAATACATAATTAACTATTTAAACTATATATAAAATTTTTTATCGCATACTTACTTTATTAAGAAATGTTTTTTTAACTCGCATAGTATTACCACTTGGTAATACTCCCATCGTACGCGGCATAGGTGGTTCTCCTTCTTTCTGCTGTAAACTATCAGCTACAACTAGAAAGGCCCGAAGTCCAATACTCATACGTTCAGGAGTTAAAATTATTTTCACCGGTCTGCCCACGGATAATAAATCAAATACTATTTCTCGCATTGCAAAATCTAATCTCTCTTGTGCAATGAATTGAATGATTTTTACAAAAATATTCAATGGAGTGTCACGTGGCACTACTGCCTTTGAACCTTTTGGGAATAAAGAATTTACTATACTCTGTAATCTACTTTGAGTAGCTGAATTACTCTCGCATTTAATACGTATCATGTACACCCAAAGTAAACGATATAGTGCCTCTGAAAAATAATATTATACATTATATTAATAATATAATATTATATTATTAATATAATATAATTATTAATATAATATAATTATACATTAATAATAATATAATTATTATATTATATTATTATATTATTAATAATATAATATTATATTATATAAAAAAATGTCTAGGATGTTTGAATAGGATGTTTGAAATTAATTTATATAAAAAATGATTTACATACCCAAAGCAACACGACACATTTTAGGATCTCGATTCTTCAAATGTGAAAGACACATTGCTAGAAAGTAATGCCAATTTTGCAAGAAAAATGTTTTCTGACTGACACATAATAAACAAGTTACAAGAGGAAAAAGGGCTAATCTATGTTTTGATTTTGTACACATATCTAATGTTGTAGAGTATAACATCTCTACAAAATTTTTTAAACAAGGTACATTAACTTCATTTTTAACAGCCTAAAATATAAAGTTAATATTACTTACATATACTATGACTTTATATTATAGATATTAATTGATATAGTGTGCAACAAACTTACAGCAGCAACAGGAACAAGTATTTCAACGAAAAGTCCAGCCAAAGCATGTTTTACATCTTTATCTTTTACTTCCAAAAAATATTGTGCACATTCTTGCATAAACTGAAATGAGGCCTCAAATTCTTCTATTGGTACCATCTACAAGTTAATATGTATATTTATGTAAGAATTCATATAAATATTATTATATGAATAAAAATATTTTTAAATAATTTCTGTTTTCAAATTACTTTTACTCTGAAAAATTTCATTCCCATTAATAACGAAATAATGCTCTGTGTAGTATGGGGTCCTGGTTCTTTAGCACGTAATTCTTTTAGTTCAACCATGAAACGTTTCCTAACTGACATAAATCGAGATTGTGCAAGAACTCCTATTACTTCTGCATAAAGATCAGCAATGATATGAATGTTTGCTGCATTTGGTTCATTTTGAATTCTGTAACACAACCTTACATAAAAATAACCCTAACCTTACATAAAATAGTCTAATATATCAACTTTACTCTTTAGCCTACTATTCCTTACCCTTCTCTATATTTGAAGTGTTTAAAAGCTATATTTTCTATGTAGGTTACTAAATCCTCATGGCCAGGATGAAATGGTAATTGACGTAAAACTTCTATTAACATTAAGCAAAATATAAATTCTACTGCAAGATCCCTTCGTTCTTGAAGTAAATCTGCTTCACTTCTTTCAACTGTTTCCACACTTCCCGACACTATTGTATACATAATGCTGAAATATAATATTTATTTTACAATTTTTATAACTTTAAAATGATAACAACAATAATGATAGTAATTATAACATATTTTTACCTTTTTCCTTTCTGATCTTCTTTTCCAGGAGCAGGCTTTCTTTGATCACTGCCTTGATCAATTAATTGACGTTCATACCAATTAAAAAGTGCTCTTAAAATAGAAGGTAAACAATGTTCTGCAACTGAACCAAATGCAGATAATAATTGATCAAACTGTGGATCTTCACCTCTTTGTAAAACTTTCGAAAGTGGTTTTTCCTGCAATATATCCATTATCAGAAACTCATTTTGTCTAAAATAATAAAATTATTTACATGTTCTGTCATCACTGCTTCCATCTTTTTTTCTGCTTGAGTAGTAAACTCTGCAAATAAAGTACGCATCACAAATTCTCCAGGTCTTAAATCCATATCTCCTATTTGTTGTGGTTTCACTGTTTCTTTCTGAGCACCCCAAGGTAACACAACAGTTATTGCACTCACTCTACTGGAACTTGATTCTGAGAAAATCAATATAAACTTATATTTATAGTTCTTTCGCTCATATGACTTATATGAGTTGTATGTTTACCATTGCCAGAAACTGAAGTACTAGCAGTATGAATGCTAACAGCATCACTACTTTCTCCTTGCGTTGCTCCATGAACAGTAAGTAAATCTTGATTTGGTTCAGGTACACTTTGAGATGATTCTGCTGCTGCTTCATGTAATTCTTCGCCATGTATGGCCCTGGCTTCAGAGGCTTCTGATAAAAATGAAAAGTTTACTCATTGGGACATTTTTATATGAACTAATAAAGAAGTATAAAAATATATAGTGTTTCGAATATAAATATTTTGTGTTTGATGTTTATGTCTAGAAGCTACTACTACAAGAATATTTTTAGTTCTAACACTACTAATTCTGGATGATGGCAGAGACTAATAGATGAAGCCCCATTCTGTAACGTAACAGATACCCACAATGAACACTAACTTAATTATATTAAGCTTGATAGCTACATTTTCTATGCATGAAAATTTGGAAAATCTGATATATATAAAGAATCAATGACAAAAATAAAAGCATACCAGGTTGTGCCTCATTTCCAGGAGTCGGCTGTGTTTCACTTCCTAAAATAAAATTTAAGGTATTTTATTATAATTTAGATAAATATACATTTAAATATAAAATAAATATTATATATTTAATTTAAGAAACAATAATAAGCTATAAATACCATATTTACTAACCTTCTGTCATATTGTTTATATATGCCCTGCTTTCAGGCAACATTAATACATACTAATGTCATACTGCAGATATATATAACATTTTTATTCTAAAACAATAAAGAAGCTATATTATATAAGACATTTTGTAACACTTACTTCTTCCAAAGAAGAAATATAGAAAAAATTAAATATATATATACATATATGTTTACTCCATTCATTCATATATTAACATTGGCATTTGATATCATGACGTTAATATATATACATAAATTTCCTAACAATTTATACAATGTTGAAATTTAAAAAATAAGACAATCATATTTTAATTTCCTCGCATTGTCATAAATATATTATGATATCCTAACATTTTAATTTTTTTATTTGCACAAAATACACTATAAAATATACGAACAATTAAAATTATTTATTTAAAGCGCAATAAAAGTGACAGAGATTACGGGAAGCCATAACCTGAGACAAGTGACATCACTATAAACTGATAAAACAAGACAAAAAGTTTCATTACAACTATCATTATTATTAGATAATCACTATATGATTGAAAATTGTAAATAAAAAATGTGTTATTTACCGCAAAATGTCGTAAAATCTTAATTTAATTCTAAGTCTGACGTTTTATAAATGTCCGGCTTGATTCGTGTGTATTCTTCACAGTTTCATATTCCACACGTTCCTTCATTTAACATACTTTTCAATATTCCACTAGAGGGTGTTAAATTTATTTATTTATTTCAAAAATTCGTCAAAAATTGTAGAGAGAAGACATATATATCCATTACTATTTTTAAGTAGATCTAAAATACTAGATTCATAATTGTATAATTAATCTATATTTTTCAATTTGAGTATATACCTTAATTGTATGGCGTAAATATACCTTAATTGTATGACGTAAATATAATAAAATATTTAATTTATTATAATTACTCCTGGTGTGATTTTACTTTATATTAAATTAGATTTATTCCACTGTGGATACTGTACAATGCTAGAGAAACCGTAGAATAAATTGTTAATAGCTTCCTGTGAGTAAAATGACCCTGACAATGAAGCACTTTGCCATTCAGTCCAAGTTAATCGCTTAAGAGAAGTTTCCTAGAATTTCTGCAATAAATATAAAATTTTAGTAATTTTTGTCAAAAACATTTAATTTATTTACTTAGCTTGCTTTATTTGGATCGGGTAGAGAAACATCAAAATTTTATTTTATGTAATCGATATATTATGCAATTAGAAATATCAATCATATTTATTTTTACGTAATTAATAATAGACGTCCTTTTCGAAACTCAAGAAGGATACATTTGTATTTGTATATTCATACAGCATATTATTATTCGCATAAATCTATACGTACATTATTTTATATATCTTTAAATCTTGTGAGTTCCTAGTCCCTATCAAGTAATAAAACCGCTTCGAACTGCTTTCAGGTGCATTGACTTCAGTTATTGCACTATACGCAGACAACCGCATACGTCATCAAGGTCGTCATTTAATCCAATCCATACACTTAAGTTCCACGTTGCAAGTTCGATATGATGTATTTGAGCTTGTAATCGCGTGTTAAATTCTCATCTATTTAACAAATGTCCTTTCCTACTTGAATAAGAAAAATCATAAATTCCACAATTTATTTCGTTCGTGGAATTTTAATAGACTTTATATTTTGATTTTTCGTTAATATTGTAGATTTGACATTGGTTATGTAATGTCATCTAGGAAGTACATGTACATAATTAAACTGATTTTTTATGTATGTATTTTTACATGTGTTTATATACAATCAAATTACTGTTGATAAGCATAATATTATTTACACCAGTCGTTCGCTCATATTTGCGAGAAGATTATCATAAGAACATTATAGAAAATAATTCTCTGTGAATTGAGAAAAATAAGTTGGTAATATGATAGAATCAGGCATAAATATTTTAGCATAAAAATAAATGATACTATATCTGAAAATTTTGTAAGTCCTATCGCAGAGATACGGAGACGATCTCTTACTTAATAATGATATGAATTATGATTATATGTTATTTATAGTATTCTCTATTTTTTTATTATTATCCAATTATTTATCTAGTTGGAAATAGATGAGATGACTGCCATATACAACAAACATTCTTAAATGTTTAAACAAATATATCAGAAATAAAAGTTTACACGAAAGTACAAAACCATTTATAAGATACAATCGATTACCAGCGTTACAATTAGAAACATTGTACTACATTAACGTGATTAATTTTCATGATAAATACTTGCATGCGCAATGAAATTTACTGCAGACAAAGAACACTTTTAGCATTAGTCTATTCTTTACAAGGTCCACTGCGTATGTACACATCTTCAAGGTGTATAAATACATTTTACTTGAAGTTACTCCATTGAACTCTGGCGTTGTGCTCCGTAACATACTGGCCGTACGCCAGGGTTACGCAAGTCGCGCCCCGTTGACCTCCTTCTTCGCGAGAAATTGACCTTGTATCTCGTTCTTTGTATCTTAAACAGCGCAAACTCGAAACTACCCTAAAGACGATCATGGGGCGACACGTGTACTTTATCACAATTGTCCTTCATTTGTATTAATACATGAAAAATATGAAGTTGATGATAAATGTTCTTATCAATGATATATAATATAATTTGAGCCATGTATTTACACTACACGTATAATCGATACCAGAGACTGGTAAAGACAATGATCGATTGGTTACCGCAAAGTAATATCTATCTCAAATCGAATAAGACCGTATTAAGTTAACAGAGAACTCTAAGCCATTATCCTCGATATAGTGCTTTTTTTCTTTTTTTTTCTCAAATATGGTTCTCTTCAGTTCTATAAATTGTACTTGTAACTGTTTGAACAGTTATTAGTTGTTTCTAATTGCAAATTGTACTTTATTTGGTACATGGATACCAACAATGTGTATTCATGTTGTATTACGCGGGTATTTCAAATATGCACACAATTTTTCTAGCAATACACACATCAGTGCAATCGTTGAATTAAGAAAAAATCTCGAAAAAAAGTGACTATTGTTACGTTTCTTTCTATTAAATATTAAAGATTTTAATCGTTAGTTTATATTTATAGAAATGTATTAAAAATATTAATATTACTTATCTTTGTTAATCCGTTATCCATGTTTGGCATTAATCTAATTGTAATTCTAAAATGCGGAAGTAAATTTGGCATCGCACGTGAAATATTATTTTTGTAGAAATAAGTTCCCGCCAAGTTGTTTCGTATTTTGAATATCTTGACACTAGCGACAATTTCCATAGGTTCGTTACCGGAAGTGCGTCATAAGCGCGGTTAAATATCTAATTTTGAAACGGCTAACCGTGAACGCATTCTATTAAGTCGATATACACGTGGTGACCGTGAAAAAGAGACAGGAAAGCATAGTGTCGCAAGATATGAGAGAAAGGTCACGAATTCGGGAACAGAGTACGCGTTCGAAGTGCATGAAGTGTCAGGGTCTCAAGGTGCGGCCGTGCCAGAAGATTGAACCTGCGCAGAACTCTGCACGTGACCTGCGCAGCTATTCTTAGCGGAGGTCCGTTCAACGAAAGGAACTCTGCCTCGCTCACTCGTCGTCCGGCGCGCGTCCGAAACGTAGAAGTTGGTTTCTCCTCTTTATTTTGTTAACCCGTTTTCACACACTAACTACCTGAAACAATATGTCTGGTCTTGCGGATCCAGTGGCATTCGCCAAGGATTTCTTGGCTGGTGGTGTGGCCGCTGCGATCTCGAAAACGGCGGTCGCCCCTATTGAACGTGTGAAACTGTTACTGCAGGTACAGCATATCTCCAAGCAAATCTCCGAAGAGCAACGTTACAAGGGTAAGTTACTTAATGAAACATTTACGTTGTTTGATAACTTAAGATTGACAAAATAGACAAAGCAGGTACGAAGCATGCAGGTAACAAATATCATCAACCACTGTACAGTATCACATAACAGTAGAATAATGATGCATGAAACATGTGACAGAAAGCATTTCGCTCGTGTCGACATCCTCAAATTGCCAAGCGTTTCCGCTACGTTTCTTCGAAGCGGTTAGGACTGAGATTCCTGTTATGTAATATCAATTTATGTTATACGTTAATGGTACATCAGTATTATCTGGTTCTAATTTTTCTCCTTTATCTAACAAAGATTAAGTTTTGGATCTTACATAACTTTGTAATATCGATTGAATAGTGGGAAGTCGTGGTTTTCTGACAAATGAATGGGTCGATATACGATAAAATGAGTTGTCTACCAGATGGCAGTGCATGGGTTTGCTCTTTGACCAAACTCCCAAGTGCCGATCGATGACTGGCTATTCAATATGGCTGCTTTTATGTTAGAAAGCAGTTTTATATTTGAATCCTTTTCCAAAGCTTCAGTTTTTGACATGCAACAATGAAGAATTAAATTTATGCTTATAAAAATGTAATCTATTATATTCGACGGAATATTCGATATAAATATTAAAAATGAATAATATTTCATTTAAAGAATAGAAAAAAGAAACCACGAATAAATATATCAAATTGCACCGATTTAAACGTGGAATTATTTCATTAACGAATATGTAATGATTTTTTAACAATACATAATTTTAAATTGTAGCTTTAACATCTAAGATATAATATATTAACTTATATAATATTTAAGTCATATTAAAATAATACATAATTTCGTAACCTTGAGTATATCTTTTTCTTTGTTTAATGTTAGAAAGATATCTTTTCAAAAATTTCTGTTATATCAGTGTGTCTTAACTGTAGATAATTAAGATAATCTTATATATTTGAAAATATAAAATATACGTAATTAAAAATTTCTGGTTGTCAATAATCTATTACATAACAACCTGCAGTGCAGTATATGACAAAATTTATAGAATTTTTAAATCCCATATTTAGATATTGTAACGTGGAGATTAGGAATTTCTAAGTAAAATCCAGATATTTTTAGTAAAATTAAAAAGTAATTGATCTTGTCATTTGATGTTTGTACAAACTGTAATGTATAAAAACAATTACAATTATATTTTTATCCTATTTCAGGTATGGTCGATTGCTTTGTGCGCATTCCAAAAGAACAAGGATTCCTCAGTTACTGGCGTGGTAACTTGGCCAATGTCATCAGATATTTTCCCACACAAGCTTTAAACTTTGCCTTCAAAGACAAGTACAAGCAAGTTTTCCTTGGTGGTGTTGATAAAAACACACAATTTATGCGTTATTTCGTTGGAAACTTGGCCTCTGGTGGTGCTGCTGGTGCCACATCCCTGTGCTTTGTCTATCCTCTCGACTTTGCCAGAACTAGGTATTTCATATATGTTTAATCATTACCATTTATATTTAATCATTAATTAGATGTAGATAAAATTTTATATACATTTCTTTGTAATTGTTAAATACAGGTTGGCAGCTGATGTAGGCAAAGGCGCAGGAGGACGTGAATTCACAGGTCTTGGTAACTGTTTAACCAAGATTTTCAAAGCTGATGGTATTTCTGGCCTTTACCGTGGTTTCGGCGTATCCGTCCAGGGTATCATCATCTACCGTGCTGCTTATTTCGGTTTCTATGACACTGCCCGCGGTATGTTGCCTGATCCGAAAAAGACACCATTCCTTGTTTCGTGGGGTATTGCTCAGGTATGATATTTATTATAATCTACCTTAATTAAAATTTTTTTGATACAATTATAATTCGTTTATTAATACTCTTTATAATGTTTTACAGGTTGTTACAACTGTCGCTGGTATTGTTTCTTATCCGTTTGACACAGTACGTAGGCGTATGATGATGCAGTCTGGTCGCGCTAAAACTGAAATTTTGTACAAGAGCACTCTTCACTGCTGGGCTACTATTTACAAATCAGAAGGTGGAAACGCTTTCTTCAAGGGAGCATTCTCCAACGTTCTTCGTGGTACAGGTGGTGCGCTTGTATTGGTACTTTATGATGAAATTAAGAATCTCCTTTAAGACATAACGATCCTCACCTCATTACCTTCACAACTACAGTTGCAAGTACCATCTTTATTACCCTCACCACCCGACGTAACAATAGATAAAGTGATTTCCAGAATGAAACAATATCCGAACTGTCGAGAAATTTAAGAACAATTTAGATTATAATCTTTTGGTAGCATCTTGTGAAATGCTTCAACTCGACAGTTTAATTTATTGCCGGATTCAGTATTTTCTTGCAGCGGTGTTCACATGTGCCATATTTCATAATTCATTTTCGTAAGAAAGAACAAAGTGACTTATCAACGTAATGGATATATGAAATGTTTGATACATGTGACTATGTAGGCAATGGTCGGGATATAAAGTAGTAAAAATAATTATCAAAAAAAAAAAAAAGAGAAGAAAAGAACAAAAATAAGCGTATACAATTGAGCAAGAGAAGGACGCGCGACGAAATACCATTACGGCGATAGCGGGGCGCGTAGACTTGGGCCGCCCCCCGCATTTATTCTCGGCCCGTTGTAGATAATAAATGATCATATTAACGATATCAGTGAAGTTCATCGAGTTTCAGTGAACACTAATTTAATTTCGCACTCCAGACAACTACGTGTAAGATAATGAGAAGCGTTACTTGTAAGTGTATGCATCCAATGTGTTCATGTTAGGATGCGTGCAAAGAAAAAAACAAAATCAATAAAACTAATAATAAAATTTGTTTTGAAATTTTTTTCCACGTACCATAAATTTATCATTTATTTTAACGATGATTTGATAATGTGACTTAATATATAATTGTTTAAATTTTAAATTGTTATTTATTAAATTGATATACTAGAAATAAATGTACATATGTTTTTATATAGTAAAATTATATTTTCATGAAGGAATAGTGACATGCACGTGTTATATTTCATCTTTCATACAATATATCATTATTACAAACATTCCAAATACAAAGTAAGAGTCTTATCTTCATTAATATACTGATACAGTAAATTAATTTATAAATAATTTTAAACAAAAATATTTCTTTAATTTTGATTTCCAACTTGCTTGAAAGGTTGTAATATTTTTGGAATGTTAAAACATACATATAATCCTTGCAGCAATACAGTAGTTTATATGAAAATAAGAAATCTATATATTATTTCTATACGATATTTCTAAATTGAATATATAGAAGATATATTGAACTTTGTTTATACATGACATTTATACAATACAAAAAGAGATCTGAGAAATTACAGAAGGAAAATTTGGCTCAATATAAAATAGTGGATCTTATATACAATGATTTGTGTGATCATATCGAGAAACATATCATACGGTTGTTCTATTTGGATCTCCTGCAATCGAATCTAACATTCGAGATATGCCTGGTAAATTTAAAATGATTTTTAAACCAGGTACCTTCCGTAAAACATTTATTGCAACTGGGAGGAAACCACTGTAAAATTAATAATTTACCAACTTTACCAACTGCATAAATAAAAATATGTGATAATAGAATAAATATTATATATACCTGAATAATAATATAAAACCATAGGTTTCTATGATCATACCTACAATAGGCCAACCCATAAGAACTATAATAATGCCTCCTAAAAATGAAGCACTAGCTTTTATCTTGTGCCTTTGAAAAAAAAAGCTGAGAGTTCTCTTTGGTCCAATAACACATGCTAATCCAGATATAAATAAAATCTATACAAAAATAATTAATTCATGATGATGTAGTAATGTAGATTATATATTAAAATTTTTATAAATGTATGAAAACAATTCTTACATTTCCAATAGCAAGAAGACCTTTATCAAAGAGTAACAAGACTCCAAGGAAAAGAAATGATATACCAAATCCCACAAGCCCGACTCCGATTTCTGGAATCAATATCCAATTGTTATACAGTGTTTTGAAATTCATGTTCTATCTTGTGTTTGTATGTTACGGATCGTAGACTTTAATAAGTTATAAACTATTTACTACTTACTTTGCGTATCTGAAACTTCGAACATTATTTGTAACTTGCTGTTTTACAATAAGGTCTTAAATTATTTTTGTGATAATATTTTCATAAGATTCAGGTAACAATTGTAACGTTGTGCATAACCTAACCTAAATCCACGTCATTAATTGTGATGTGACACTTTCCAACTAAGCACTATTTTTGGTCACCTTGTAAAAATCGTATATTGAATACTGTATATGTCTTTTAACCACCTTAGCATTATTTTTACAAAATTTAAATATGTTCAATACTTTTTAATAAAGTGAATGCCATCGTACATATACGTGTGCGTGCATACTTCCCCGGATTGTCGTCGATTCTATTCATATCTTGTACTATATATGGTCTTTCAATTGGAATACATTTTAGAGATTAGATTTAGTAAAATATAAGATATATAATAATAAAACTAGTAATGTTAGTAGTATTTTATGTTATTAATATTTAATAATTTCCAATAAAAACTTTTCCAGTTATTTTTTTCTTTTATGAAAAATTTTACTTTGAATGAATTTGTACCATTCTGTTAAAATCTTATACATACGTTACGAACTTATTATTAATATTATACTTTGAAGTATACTTTGAAATATATAATTTGATGGCAAGCCTATTTAAAAACAAATAATTATTTATTTCGGATAAAAGAACTGTACAAAATAAATTTAACTTTATTATCCAGTATGAATTTCTTATACAAACAACATATAATACATAGTCATTTATAATGCATAATCAGATGAAGGAATGATGAGATTGCTAATGGCGGGAATAATGGTATTATTTTACAAACAGCACAAAAAATAGACTCGATCATTAACCGTTAATATGGCTAAAACTTAAGTCTATATACGATGTAAAGAACATTATTTACAAGTATTTTAAGGTACACACATATTCAGCACATCAAAGATGATCTGAGCCACTGAAAATAAATAATATTTTATATAATAACTTAATTTTCTGTATTTAAATTAAATAAAATTTATATGTAACGCATACCTCAGTTAAACTTAATTTTATGGTCCCATTTTGTAAAGGATCTTTACTTTCGAATATTCCTGTAAAATAAATTTGAATATTAGCGTACGAATAGGACACATAGAAAAGAGAGGCAAAGACTTAAAGTATATAGATACCAAATGCGTCACTCAAATGCAATATTGCCGAGACGAAGTCGCCGAATCGGAGTGTACCATCCTTTCTCATATATCGAAGAATTAAAATTGAGAGTACATCCGTATTTAATTGGAACCCTAGCAGAAATATTATTCATACGTCAGAGATATGAATAAATGTAAATATCAAGCATTGATAAATATCTACTTACCCACTTCTAATAACGCGTCTCGTAATCGTTCTGCTTTAAGTATACCGGTTTTCTCCTTCGTGTGATTTTTGAATGCTGCTTGCCAGTATTTTAAACTGCACATAAGATCCTTGAAGTCATTGAATTTCAATCGACCGCTACCAGAGCTCTATGTTGATATATAAGGAAAATCAACAAATTTTAAACGCGAAATTAAGAAGATTAAAATAATTAATTTCAAGGATACATCCATTGTAAGAACTACCTGTCGACATACTTCCATAGAAGCACAACTTTTTATGTAATCTATAAATAGGAAATAATGATTTATCAAATAATTTCGAAAGGATCGATTAATTTATTTTTTTTTTTTTATTACAATTTTAAGTAATATTAAACTTTTACCATTCGGTAAACAAGCTTCAAGAAGTTCTTGCAACTCAAAAGCATTTACGGTTCTGTGTTCATCAGCAAGTTGTAGGAAAACGGCTTCGTATTGCGAGAACCCTTTGCCTTCAAGAGGTGGTGCTTTGATTATCGTCGACTTTACTAGAGATGGCGGTGTATCGAGAAGTCTAATAAAATCATTATATCTATAGAATGGAATTACATTCTCAAATAATCTTAATATTAAAATTGAATTACTTACTTGAGTTTCAGAGGCTTACTACTATAGACTCGCAATGTAAAACTTGTTTCTTGCGTAGGTTCAAAGGTAGTGGGTACTAACAGATAGCCACCCTGATCTAATTGACATCTGTGGCTCACCTGACGACTGTTGGTATACTGCGAGTTCACCAAAGATTTATTCTTTTTGAAAAACTGTTTGTTTATCGATTCGGTGTTATTTTTCGGCAAAGTATATGCTGTGAAGCCTATTACCTTAAATAGTAAAAATTTTACACAATCATAATTAATAAAATTTTCAATGTATAGGACATACGTATAAAAACCACAAAATATGTTTCTTACTTTTATCTCCATAATGGAGTGTTGATACAAAGAAACAATTACTTCTTCCATTTCGCTTAAGATCAAATGTAATTGTGGATTAATATGAAAAGTTTCTGCAACATAGATAAGCTTATAGGATATAGGATATTTATCGTAATTTTAATAAGTGCTTACGTTACGTATTACCGGATTTCCGTTGTAAAACGTTCGTCATTGGAGTAAACCGCGTACGAACCTTCATTGTTTCGACATCCTCCCGCGGTTACGCCTCTCCTCCAGCTACCTTGATAGAGTTTCATCTGCCAGGTATGTTTGCTATGCAACGATGGCTCATCCCTCGACGTTTCGGCATCAAGATGCACGACTTCTAAATGAGTGAATGTCTTCACGAAATCTGAATATGATATCCTACAATTCGTGTAACTTTTGTTAATTATTCCTATTCGCACATCTGTATATACTCATTATAATACTTAATGGTTATTGTGCAACTATAAATTTTAATAAGACGTATTTAAATAAAACGCCAAAAACTTGTTTTGTGAATTAAGAGATTATTAAAATTAGCTCACCAGAATTCTCCCTCGGCCATGTTTCTGACCGCTAAACGATCCCTTTCCATCGGTGGTACTTCATCCCATTCAAGACCACCTCTCGCCCAAGCGCCAACATACTCCCTACCAGGTCCAAGAGGATTTCTTAATTTTACTAACTGAACTGCTTCACCGTTAAATGTCTCTACCTATATTTTATGCAACGATCCATCGTGAAATACGAGTCGGAAGTAATTAAAATCATCAGCGAATAATTATTATTTCCGGTATTTACCCTCTCAATAGCGTAGAGTCTGTAATTGATCCCCATCTGAACACCATTGGCGAGTTTCTCTGTACTGGCACGAATCTTAAACAAAGTAGAAACGAATAATTTGGGACATATAATAGCAAAGTAAGAAATATATAACAATCAAAATAACTTGCAATAACTTTACAAAGTAGGTACTAGAAATTAATATTTTGTTTGTTTAAAAGTTAATGAAAAATCGCTCACTTGTTGTTGATTGTTATTTACTGTACACGTGATAAGGGACGTCATATCGAGGAGTTTCGCAAGGACACGTCCGCACGCTGTAGGATCCTGGCGAATCGCGATACTCTCTGTAATCCCTCCGGTGAGATCAGACAAACCATCCAGAAGAGTTCCATATTTCAGAGCTTCGTATGACCCGTGCAATCTACAATCAAAGAAAAAAAAAAAAAAAGATCAGTTTCTCCGTCTTCGAGGTAACTTTCTTTCTGTATTCTTAACAAGCGACTGCTATCTTAACATTACAGATCCAAAGGTGTGCGGTAAGTCCTATCGTTTATTCAATTTCAACGAGTTGTCAGGGATTTCTATCCGCATCGTTGAAAACCCGTATCACAGGCGGTCTTTTTCAAACGTAGGAATGCTGAGATTGGCTCAGGGAAAGCTGATGTCAAGAATTTTTCGACCTGTGCGACCCTTTCTCGCCGACGGTAAAGCAACTCTCAAGAAGTACCACGCGATCGCGATTTCTCGCGGATTCTTCATCGATTCCGCGAAGAAAGTTGAGTCGACGGCTCGTTAATCTCGCTCGCCACGCTACCGGAATAGTGGCTTTTGTTCCGCGAAGCGAACGTACGGGCTTGATTAAGTCAGCGTGCCAAGATTTCGTCTCAGGAATCATCGGTCGAGGTAGAAAGGCGAAATCTCGCGCCAACTGATAAGAGGATAGGCGAGAAGGTAGCGATGCTATCTGTTTGAATGTGCCGTTCCTGCGAGAATTAGTGTTCTCTAGATAACGGGGTTTCTTTCTCTCGCTCTATCTTTGTCGACTGGCTCGCCCTAGTAACGCCAACGCCTCTTCTGCGTCTATACGCATACACTCGCTGCTGACTAGATAGCGAGCTTTCCGCGCTTCTCACGCAGAATGTGCATCAGTATACAGGTATTTGTTGAAAATTCCAAAATCAATAATATTTGAATCCACGTTTCATAGTACTTTTTTTTTTTTTAAGACATTTTTGCATTGTTTCGACAAATGTTATATACTTTCGACAGAATGACACCCAGTTTCTGAAACACTGTATACGTAGGCTAATCTCTAAACCGTAACCATTCACACGAGCCGTTCGTCAAAATAGTCACATGGGTATTTTCTCAGGGAAGGCGACTAACAAACACATCCGTTTTCCAATTGTGTGCCAGGTATGGGCTTTGGATTCGGTGTGTTCCGTAATTTACCAGCGGCGGAAGTGGCAAGGACTCGGAAGTGGTCGTGAGGTTATTCGAAGAGGGACGAGTCAACAGCGGTAACGATCGAGTCTTGCTTATCTTCACTGATTGAATTACTGAGTAGTTAAATTAAGCTGTTGATTCAGAGTAAGAGCGATTTGGAGTAGTTTCTAATAAAGAAGTTGAATTTAGAGGGAGTATCAACGGGAGATGGACGAAACGATCGGTTAGACTGGAAGTTGTAGAAAGGAATGTGTAAAGCACAATGTAAAGGTCACCGTACCTTCGACTGAACATTTTGTTGACTATGTAATACCGCTGTCAGTTCGTGAGTCAACGGTAACACGAGTCTTGCCATTGACGTACATCCGTCCCGTGACCATCTAACGGAGTGATGAAGTCACATTGCGGATGTGCAATGTCATTTGCAATTCTTTCGCGCGACTGTCGCATTACGATACTTCGAATGACATCCACAATACAGTGGCACACGATAAAACAATATCAAGATCGACGTAGGTGTGTATGCGAGAGACTAGCGATGCGAAAGTCATGCATACAACTACTAACTCGTTTGCTTCGTTTTTTAGGAAATAAACTTGCCTGATGTTCTATGAAGAATTGTTCTCCACAGTGTCCTGAATTTTCATGTTACTTTATTATCGGATAAATTAAAGATGAGTTCAATTAAAGGAGTCATTTTCTTCTAACTTAATTATTTCCTCTTCAATGTCAAACTGATCTATCGCATTCCTTTGTATCAAATTGGCACGGATGAGGAATGGGAATCAACACTCGCGCCAGATATTGAAAACAGTTAAAAAAGCAGTTAAAAAAGAGAAAGAACGAAACAAAATTAGTTCTGGCTACTCGCATAAGAGGAGCAGCGAGGTGCAGTTTTCTTTGTTTAGGGAAAGAGACGTACTAAGTATGCTCGTAATTAGCCTCAACATTGAAACGATCCACGAGAAGTGGAAGTGGATACATTTCCAACGAGGAGCTACGTTTGCCGTAGTCCCGTGGCATTAATAAATCGATAAGAATGTAGAAATCAGAGAATCATTAGGCAGATGAACTTATTATTAACGAGGCCCTTGTTTTCGATTGTCCATTAGCACGATATGTGCTGTAGCAGTTTCGTGGCCTCAGATACGAGCATGGACTGTGGTCACCAGTGCACTGACCTCCGATCCATTGCTGGCGACCAACGAACCGGCTACTCGTCGAGTGAAAGTATCCGCGGATATACTTGCTTAGTATATCCATGGCCGGCATGTGCATGCACAAATATACAGTACCGAATATAGCCCGGCATACCGTCGTATCCCGAAGCTATGTCGAATTCTGATTTCTCGTTGCTCGCACGCTGAAACAGTTGATCCCATCGCTGAAAATCTTGTTATCCGAATACCAACGCGGTGAATCATCGTCCTCGAGTTTGTATTTCGCGGATGGAAGCCTATTCGAACATTACAACCGCATTACGACTTTCTTTTGTCTCGATGTTTAAGTCCGTTTCAGAAGAATGTTCAGTTCTTGCTTTATCTTATTCGTAAGAATCTAAGCGTGTCATTGTGTCTGTTTATTATTAAAATCAAAAAAAAAAAAAAAAATCGGTCAGAGTCGATAGGCCATGTGTAAATAAACCTACTTTCTTTCAAGGAAAATTATTAAGAACACGAGACCTGGATTTCAATTATTAGCGATACGCAAAATGCCATGTTTACAAATCTCTGCTGGATTTTTATTCACTTTTATTCTCTTCAAAATATTGTCAATAATATTTAATGGATACAAGGTTTCATTTTCTACTTGAATTCTATTTTCTTAATCTATGAAAATATCACATAAATATCCGTAGTCTATTTATGACTTTGCGTAATGAAAATACATGAATTATATCAAGACTAAATAATCTAAATAGATCAAATATACCAATTCTGGTTATAACCACAAACAGGAAAATCGCGCTAATCATCTCGAAGAGGAGAAACCGAATCGCTTTTGACGAGTAGAAAAAGGAGTTAATTGCTCAGCGAGATCGTTACAGTTACAAAATAATTAGAATTAAAACGCGTATCGTAGGACTGGGGAATAACCAGTGAACGGATAATATGCGTTACTTAGCAATTCTCGGTTGCCTCGAGTGTTGGAACAGGCACTGGTTTCTAATGGAAATCGCGGAGAAGCGCGTCCAGCATAATTCTTTGGCTGGCTGTGCACGCGTTGGCACGCGAAACGTGTACAAGCTTTCTAACTGATTTTAGTACAATCGCCAGATTAATAAGCCACCTGGATATGTACGGTACGTTCCGGATCGATAGGATCTATGCGACAGGGTTATCGTGAAAGAGGAAAGGTCGCAGAACCGAATGCTTTCCTCCACGGGTGGAGAGAAGTGTGTCATCGGCATCGGCAAGATTCTCTCGACGTTGGAGAACGCGTCTCTCACTCTCTCTCTCTCTCTTCTTCTCTATTGCTCTCAGCATCGAATCGGAACGCGTGGAATACTAATTTTGTCGTCGTCAGCCAGTTTATCATTTCCGTGAATATTATCTGCCGTACGGGATCTTCACGCGCCCGCCAAATGAAACTGGATTTCAGGTCAATGTTAGCCAGATAATATCGATTTTTATAAAAAAAAAAAATGTGAATTTCCTTTTAGGAGGACTGCATGAAGGAAAAGACGTTCGTTAGACACGGTTCGCTTGTACAATGTTCGACAGAGATCGCTATCTCCCGTAATTGCAGGAAATTAGATAAATGAATGAAAATATGCGATGTCGTGGCGTGATTTTAATTAATATTGGAATCTACATGATTATATTCGAATTAATAGTTGTTCGATGGAAATGTCTTACTAACTTATTGTTGCATGGAAGAAAATTTGGTAAGAATATTAAATAAATTTGAACGGTAATCTGATGGAAACATCTTAGAAGTATTCATCCATACATATATATAGCTCGTGAATCACTTTGATCGTCTTGAAATTATCTTTTAAGCTATAAATAATCTTTATCTTTATCTTGAAGTAACAAGCAAGTCGTAACACTTTATAACATTATGTTTTCAATTTATCGAATGATTCCGCAAGTAAAATATTTGATGGAAGAATGTAATTTCCATCCTCCGTAATTACCTAATCGGTGATAAATATAAATTCTGATTTTAAAGGAAATACTGAGAAACATCGTACTTTTAAATACAATATGTAAAAATGATTCACCCAACAATTCAGTCTTAATAAGAGTTTATTTTACGTTAACAGAAATCACGAATTCCCTCGAAATACAAGGATCTCTTCATTTTGACATTTGTTTCGCCGCTGTTTTTAATTCCTTTCTTCTTCAACAAACAGTAAATTACGAAAGATTCTAAAACGATAGGGTTCACTAGTGTCAACTAACTGCACGTGTTTAATTATCTTTACGATTGCAATTGGGTTCGCAAGATCACTGATTGTGATCATCATAATAAAAATTAATGATCGCCTATCAAGGAATAGATATTTTCAAACTTTCGTCGTAAGGTCTACTGCAAAAGCCAATTGGCGCCAATCACATTTTCAATAGAAATGTGAAATATTATTATCGTTTACAATCGATTATGGAAGCCAGTTGATTTCAAGCGATTCAACGTTAATCGGCTGCATCGTACATTCAACGTAGAACGGAAGTCATCGAGTGGCAGCAACGCGCTATCAATTATTAATGAATCTTGACCTCGATTTCTTTGCCAGAAATTGTTGACCAGTGTAATCGTCGCCACGTACAAACAGTTTGCAAGCCAACATTACGATACATCGTTTTCTCAGTGAATGTAATCGAACGAATCGAATTAATTGAAAAGAAATACTAATGTTCGGACGATCGTTCGGAATTAATATAAGAAATTTTTTATTATATTTGATTAAGTTATGAGTTTACGATTCAATAAAGCTTTTCATGTAATATATTCTTTGTTTCACTTACGAAATGCTATATTTTATTGTCTACGTTTTTTAATTTGACAAGCGTGTATGTAAATACGTTTATGTAAACTTATAATTTTATGTAAATTTATGAATATTCTATTTCGAATATTTCATATATTATTTGCATCTTGCGTATTTCTGCATTTTTAAATTTCGTATAAATTCTAATTTCGCGTGTTATACGATTTGTATGGTATATACATATGCTATAACATATCCATATTTACAGCAAGTTATTCATAGTATGTATTAATTTTTTACTAAATGTTTACTGTATGTTTATAAAAAAAAAGTTGCATAATAACAAAATTTCTAAAGGTTAATTAAAATATTTTCTGCGATAAGTGTTTAAATACTTTTATGAGCTACTGTATGCTATAACGTTGGATCTTTTTGTTCTGCTTTCTCTTGATAAAATGCAACGCAATCACAATTTCTTGTTACATGTGCGCATATATACGTAGATATATTGTGACGCAAGATGCTTGCGTTTGATGATGAAATTATAACGAGCTGTGTTCTCGACCATAAAATAAGGGTACATGCTACAAGTGTTTCCCTTAAGTGAATATGTAATCGAAAATAGAAAACTCTGATGAGTTTTGTAACTGTCCGATTCACAGAGAAAAAAATTGATCAAACGAATCTAGTAAATTATTTACTGGAAATAAATGAAAAGAATCTTCGAGAATCGACACGATTGGATTTATGTCGCAATGAAGATGGTAAATTGTTGCGCTATATTAACAGTGAAACCTGTAATGTTAATGAGAATTATAGTTGATAAACATTCACGACAAACAGATTAATATTTTATCGATTGTATTTCTTATTCTGAATACTAAATTACACGACTGAATAAAATTTAAACGAGAATCAGAACTTCAAACCATGGAACGATCGTGCTATTCTGGCATTGAAATCTCCAGCTCCTGCAGCATGCTGTAACGAGCCAAGTGAAGACATTTTACTTAAAACGATCGGTACGTTACACATGACACGGAAATCATTATAACAGGTTACACTATATTAAATTTTTCCATAAAATTTTCTTTAAACATTCGCATATAAAACCTAGAGAGAACGTGACCTTTTTTTCTCGCCGACGCGATGACTCAAAAGGATGCCTCCTCGGCATTCCTTCTGTTAACGCCGGAAACCGTGAAAGAACAGAAAATATCGCTCGAGCAAAATATTTCACCGGACGTACACGCACGTGTATAAATATCGCGTTATCGCCAATAAAATTTGTTGCGGCCATGAGTCATCTTGTAAATTAAAAAAAAAAAAAAAGGAAAAGAGAGAAGAGACAAGGAGAAAGAAGGAAGAAAGAAAGAAAATGGAGAATGAATTACGGGCGATTCTTATCGGCGATCCCGCTTTTCTTTCGCCAGTTGCTTCTCGCGAGGTCGTCTTCCTCTTCGAGGCTTCTTCAATGTCATGTTGCAGTCGTTTCAAAAACAACGCCCAGCCGCAGCTTACACATCTCTTTGACGGCAAGAAACGAAGAGAAGCCGAGGAAGGGACGCGAGTAAGAAACGGATAACGAGGTGAAGGAAAGAAGAAGGAAGGAGCGGGCGATCATCAGCGGAAAGATTAAGAGGAGGAGCAAGGACCTTCGGCAAAACCGGTCATCGTTGTTGGTTCGTTCGTTCGTTCGCGTAAACGCGAGCCTTCCACCTCGTGGAAGGGAATTGCGCGGAACCATCATTTGCTCCGGGGATTCGTTTTATAGATCTTATGAGACACCGTGAATAAATCCCGTGTCTCCTGTGATATGACGTCCGTTCCGTTTACCGTGTTCTTGAATCGCTCGATTACACATCACTTCGTTACCGATCCTATCTCTTCACCGTTACGGCCTGTTTTGTCCCGTTTCATTAAAATGTTCTCTAACGTTGTGACGATTAAACTCGCGAGGTATA